GCCCACCCTTAAAACCCCCCCCAGCATTAACCCTCCCCAGCATTAACCCTCCCCCACATTAACCCCCCCCACATTACCCCCCCCCCCGCATTTAACCCCCCCCCAGAAATTTCCCCCCCAGCATTTCCCTCCCCCAGCATTAACCCTCCCCAGCAGCACAATACTGATGTAAATTTGATTTCCCTTAAATAAAACTCCTTTTGAAAAAAAAAAAAAACCTAAAAATTTTATATAAAACTTCTTCGTTTCGGAAATGCAAAAATTTTTATTAAAATTTAAAAAAATTTTTATTATTATTATTTTTATTTTTTATTACTAATTTTTATTGCGAAATGGATAAGGAAACCTATGAAAAAAAAGTAAAAATGAAAAAGTAATTAAAAAAAGATTTATATATACCCCCAAACCCAAAATCGAGCCGGAGGGAGAACTGGGGAGGGAGGGAGGGAAGGGGGGGGAGGGAAGGGGGGGGAGGGAGGGGGGGGGAAGGGGGGGGAGGGAAAAAGGGGGGGAGGGAGGGAGGGAGGGAAAAGGGGGAAAGGGGGAAGGGGAAAAAAGGGGGGAGGGAAAAAGGGGGGGAAAAGGGGGGGGGGGGGGAGGAAAGGGAGGGAAGGGAGGGGGGGGAGGAAGGGGGGGGGAAGGGGGGGGGGAGGAAGGGAGGGGAAGGGGGGGGGAGGGGGAGGGGGAGGTGTGGGAGGGGGGGGGGGGGAGGGGGGGGAGGGGGGAAATTGAACCTTTTTTTTCCCCCTTTTATTTTTTTTTTTCTTTCCCCCCCTTTTTTCCCTTTTTTTTTTTTTATTTTCCTTTTATCTTTTAAATTCCTATTGGCCCCCTCTAAATTTTTCCATTTCCTTTTTCCCTGGGAAATTTTTTGTCCCAAAATAGCCCTTCCCATAAAAACTAACCCCCTACCCCTCTCTCCCAAAAAACCCCACCCCACCCCCCCCCCCAAAATTTCCCCCAAACCCAAACCCCAAACAAACCCATTCTTACCCCCCACCCTTTAAAAAAAACCCGAAAAATTTTTTACATCCCCAAAACCGCCAACCCGAAAACCCCAAAAACCCCCAAAACCCCCCCCCCCAAAAAAAAACCCCTTTTTAAACCCCCCCACCCCCGTCCCCCCCCCCCCACCCCCCAACCCCCCTCCCCCCCCCCCCCCCCCCCCCCCCCCCACCCCCCCCCCCAGGGACCCCCCTTTACAAACCCCCCCCCCCCCCCCCCCCCCACCCCCCCCCAACCCCCAAAAAATTCAAAATTATCTGTTTTTAAAATTAAAAGGGGGGAAAAAAAAACTTCCCCCCCGTTTTTTCCATTTTTCCCCTTCCAACCCCCAAAAAGAAATTCCGGGGTTTGTTATTCCCAAAAAAAGGGGGGAACAAGGGGTTCCCCAAGCATTTTTTTCCCCTTTTTCCCCCTTGAAAAAGGGGATTCCCTGGTTACCCCATAGGGGGGGCATTTTCCCGTTTCCAAAACACCCCAATGCCCCCTTTTCAAACCAGAAGTTTTTTAGGTAATTTAGTTGGTTTGCCGAATAGGGGGGTCCTTTTAAATTCAAAATAAGGGGGCCCCCAAAAGCAGGGCCCAAAAAATTTTTTTTGCAAAAGGGTTTTTGCAAAAAGGAAAGGGAAAAACCCCCCAGGGGAAAAAGGGTTTTCCAAGGCAGGAACAAAAACCCCCTTTCAGGGGGTGTCGCAAGTCAAAAAAAAATCCTTCAAAAAAGGGGGTCCGCAAGGCAAGGGGAAAAAAAAAATCCTTGGGAGAGGTGATTGCAAAGGGGGAAAGGGAAAAAAAACTTAAAGAAGGGGGGTCCGGAAAAAGGGATGGAAAAAAAACTTGCAAGGGTTCCCCCAAAAAAGGCAGGGAACAAAAAATTTTCAGAAAAAATTGTGCGGCAAGGCAGGGAAAAAATCTTTTCAGAGGTTCCGCAAAGGGAGGGAACAAACTTGCAGAAGGGGGTTCCCAAGGGAGGGGGAAAAATCTTTCAGAGGTGTCCGCAAGGCGGGAACAATCTTGCAGAGGGGTGTGCGCAAGGCAGGGGAAAAATTTGGGAGAGGTGCCGCAAGGCCAAGGGGAAAAATCTTGCAGAGGGGGGGCCCCAAGGCAGGGGGAAAAATCTTTCGGGGTGTTTTCCCCAAGGCAGGGAACAATCTTGCAGAGGTTTTCCCCAAGGCAGGGAAAATCTTGGGAGGGTGTCCGAAGGGAGGGAACAAACCCCATTTTTTTAAAAAAAAACCCCGGGGGCCCAAAAAAAAAAAAAACCCCAAAAGGGGAAAAAAATTTTTTTTTTTTCCCCCAAAAAAAAAAAAAAAAAAAATTTTAAAAAAAAAAAAAAATTTTAAAAAAATTTTTAAAAAAAAAACCCAAAAGGGGGGGTTTTAAAAATTTTTTTTTTTCCAAAAAATTTTTTAAAAAAACCCCCCAAAAAAAAAAAAAACCCGGGGGAAAAAAACCTTTTTTTTTGGGGGGAAAATTTTTTGGGGGGCCCCCCCCCCCAAAATTTTTAAATTTTTCCCCCCCCAAATTTTGGGTTTTTTTTTTTTTTTTTTTTTTCCCCCCCTTTTTTTTCCCCTTTTTTTTTTTTGGGGGGTTTTTTTTTTTTTTTTTTGTTTTCCCCGGGGTTTTTTTTTTTTTTTTGGGGGGGGTTTTTTTTTTTTTTTTCCCCCCCCTTTTAAAATTTTTGTTTTTTTTTTGTTTTTTTCCCCCCCCTTTTTTTTTTTTTCTTTTCCCGGCCCCCTTTTTTTTTTTTCCTTTTTTAATTTTTTTTTCCCCCCCCCTTTTTTTTTTTTTTTTTCCCCCTTTTAAAAAACCCCCCCCCAAAAAAAAATTTTTTTTTCCCCCCCCCCCCTTTTTTTTTTTTTTTTTTTTTTTTTTTTTTTTCTCTCCCCCCTTTTTTTGGGGGGCCCCCCCCCCCCTTTTTTTTTTTTTTCCTTTCTCTTCCCCCCTTTTTTTTTCCCCCCTTTTTTTTTTCCCCCCCTTTTTTTTTTTTTTTTTTTTTCCCTTTTTTTATTTTTTTTTTTTTTCCCCCCCCCCCCCCCCCCGGGGGGGCCCCTTTTTTTTTTCCCCCCCCGGTTTTTTTTTTTTCCTCCCCTTTTTTTTCCCCCCCCCCTAGGTTTTTTCCCCTTTCCCCCCCCCCCCCAAACCCCCACCCCCCCCCCTTTTTCCCCCCCCCCCCCCCCCCCCCCAGGTTCCCCCCCCTTTTTTTTTTCCCCCCCCCCGGGTTTTTCCCCCCTTCCCCCCCCCAACCCCTTTTAAATTTCCCCCCCCCCCTTCCCTTTTTCCCCTTTTCCCCCTTCCCCCCTTTTCCCCCCAAAATTTTTTCCCCCCCCCCCCCCTTTTTCCCCCCTTTTCCCCCCCCCATTTTCCCCCCTTTTTTTCCCCCCTTTTTTTTTTCCCCCCCCGCCAACCCCTTTTCCCCCCCCCCCCTTTAAAAAAACCCCCCCCCCCCCAAATTTTTCCCCTTTTCCCTTTCCCCCCCTTCCCTTTTTTCCCCCCTCCCCAAAATTTTCCCCCCCCCCCCAAATTTTTTCCCCCCCCCCCTCCCCTTTTTTTCCCCGCCTTCCCCGGGGCCCCCCCCCCCTTTTTTCCCCCCCCCCCCCCCAAAAAACCCCCCCCCCCCCCCCCCCCCTTTCCCCCCCCCCCCCCAATTTCCCCCCCCCCCAATTTCCCCCCCCCAAACCCCCCCCCCCCAAAAAAACCCCCCCCAAACCCCCCCCCCAAAAACCCCCCCCCCCCCCTTCCCCCCCAATTCCCCCCCCCAAACCCCCCCAACCCTTCCCCCCCCCCCCCAAAAACCCCCCCAAAAACCCCCCCCCCCAAAACCCCCCCCCCCCCCCCCCCCCCCCCCCCCCCCCCCCCCCCCAAAAACCCCCCCCAAAACCCCCCGCCCCCCCTTTCCCCCCAACCCCCCCCCCCCATTTCCCCCCCCCCCCCATGGCTGAACTCAGACTACAGTACCAAGGCTAGTAAACCAGTGTGGTCCGAACACATATCAAGTACGTGTTTAATAAGACACGTACTTGATACCTGTCTTATTAAACCAGTAGCTGGTTTATCATGTCATGATGTAAGGCTATAGATAAATGGTTCAGAGAACCGACAAGAATGATGGACTGATGACAGCCACTCCAGGCTGAGAGACTGATGACAGCCGCTCCAGGCTGAGAGAGTGATTACTTTAAACTACTCCTGATCTTCAACCATTCTTCTCTGCTACATTTCGCTCAAATTTAAGACTTCAAAAAGTTCCGGCCGAGAGAAAGGTAACCTCAAAAAAAAAAAAAAAAATTCAAACGTTACAAATGTAATGGATATGCGGACCAGCGGGTCGCAAGCCCCGACAGTCTGGTTGACCAGGCAAGCACCAGACGAGCCTGGCCAGGGAGCCGGGTTGCGGGAATAGGAAAACTCTGGGAAACCATCAAAACTAATCAAAACCTAAGGTATACCACTCAATAAGGTATACCTTTGGCTTTGACAGGCACCTAAAGCCTGTTCCCGACACACCGGGCTGTGGTTCGTACGTCGGTTTACGTGCGGCCAGCAGTAACAGCCTGGATGATCATCCCCTGATCCACCGCGAGGCCTGGTCATAGATCAGGCCTCGGGGGCATTGACCCCAGGAACACCCTCCAGGTATACTCTCACAAGGTCACCAGTTACCACCTTCGCGTCAGTCGTGGACAATACCTGATCGAACCACGGAACGGGTGAGGGTTTGAACCCGTGGCAAACAAGTCCTAAGAGTAACCGGCCAGTGTCATTACTTTTTGGTGAGTCACGACCTGATGACCAGGAAGGCACAACGCCATGACTGGAACAATACACAAATAACCCGCACGTTTCAGTCCGACTTGGACTTAGTTAATGGTCCAAGTCGGACCAAAACGTCGTCATAAGTTTCACTCTATGTGCCGGTTATATTTATGCATCATTACCTGATATCTGTAAAAGGGAACGCTGACAGTTTCTTGCAGTGTCTCCTGCCAGTGCTAATGGCACTAGTTAATTAACAGTTTGTATACCTGTTTTATGATCTCTCTATCTGTCTGTCTGTCTCTCTGTCTGATGATAGCAATAACAGATGCCGCCCAAAGCTGTCTATAAGCTGTTCGAAGCTTACTAAAATCGAATCTAAACCAAATGAAGCCAAAGGCAATTTCAGCAAACCAGATTCGTCCTGCAATTTTTATCAATTAAGGAATTACATCAGTGCACAAGTGGGGAAACAATCCCATAAAAAAACACACACACAGATCGTTTCCTAATCGCCGCCTCATTAACGAAAAGGATTAATCGCTTAATTGAACCCAGGGGATCATTTAACTAAGTAGATTACTATTGGCCCGAAATGTTCTTTGAACAGCCACGTAAACATTACATTACTCGCTTTAATTAATATTACCCGAAAAGCTAAAACAAACACATTGTCCCGAGGGAGAAATCTGTCGGGACGGAAGTGATGTCTGTGATAGCTGGCGCATCTCTAGGAATAAAGCACGGTTGACTGGTTGACGAAGGGTAAAAGAACAGCACTGGTTGGCACTGGAAGTGCAGACGAGTGATATAAAGTGTTAAACAGTGCTACAGAAGTCAACACTGTGACGCGTTGAAAACAGTTTGGATACAAGACTGTGAATGGTTTAAATAATAATAATAATAATGATAATAGCAATACTCTTACTACTACTACTACTATTACTATTACTAGTAATAATAATAATAATAATAATAATAACACTACTACTACTACTAATAAGAATAATCCTTTATCATGTGTATCAGTAGCGTCTGCTAATGAGCCTCATGGAGGGTTACCAACCTTGAGTGGAGACTTAACGCTAAACTCCGGGTGCACGAATCTTATTTAGAGGGTAATTGACCGAACCTCTTCTTTATGGAGGTGCACCACGCTAGCCAACTATGTTTTGATATCGGTCGCCGTCCTGGGAGGTGCTGGAGGAGGAGGAGGAGGAGGAAGAGGAAAAGGTGATGAAGGTGAGAGAAGTAGTAGTGGGGTCAGAAAGATAACATGGTGGCGTAAGAGAAAATAAAACTGACACAGTATTGATTGTGAGGTGCAAATGACAACAATAATTGTTCTAAAACAAGTAAGTTACCTAAATCAAGAAAACTTCTCCGTCCACCCTCGACAATGAAAAGCCGCAAGGAGTGGTGAAGGCTCGACCCTCCGTCCGGTAATCGCGAGATTCTCCACTCTGGCAGCTAGGCTTCCCAGTTGCCTGCACTAGTGAAGGACAGAGCTGCAAACTGATGAAAGTCTCAAAGTTCAACAAAAAAGTTGTCTTTGTAACTCCTTAACTCGTTTTTCTGGCAGGTTTGTGTACGGAGAGTGAGGGAAAAATTGTGCGCCCCAAGTTGTCCCTGTGTACCTACCTACGTACATGTGTTTGCAAGGATCGATCCATGGTTCCTTATTTCTTATCGTCTTAGCGTGTGTGTACATACTCACCTGTGTGTGTGTGTGTGTGTGTGTGTGTGTGTGTGTGTGCGTGTGTGTGTGTGTGTGTGTGTGCGTGTGTGTGTGTGCGTGTGTGTGTGTGCGTGTGTGTGTGTGTGTGTGCGCGTGTGTGCTTGCTTGTTTGTACTCACGGTTTCTGTATGCATGGATTCGAGACTTAGCTTCTGGCTCCGCCTCCTAGATCACTTTGATCGGCATCACTGACATCTGGCCTCTTGGGACTTAACATGTCTCTTCTTGAAGCTGTGTATTGAGTCCACCACCACCATCTCATCCAAGTTAGGTGTGTTCGTACACTCACCTTTCTCAAGTGTTAAGGAATTTCAATTTCAGCTCTGATTCCCGCTTCTCAAACATCAATCGACGGTGGAAATTTACAACTGAAGGATACCTGACAAATTAGGCAACATGGGCGAAACGTTTCCACAATAAAGACACCCAAGTGATGCTAATGCGTTTATCACCCTGTTGGTTTTCTGAGCCAGTTATCTACATTAGATACCTGAAGGACGTTTCTGGGGGTCAACGCCCCCACGGACCGACCCCAGACCAGGTCTACTGGAGGATCAAGGCCTGATCAACCAGGCTTCTCTTGGAGTTTACCTTCATTACTTTCTTTATTAGTTCCCTCAACTTCTTAACATCCAGTAAAACACTGTAAAACGTAAGTTTCCCCTACCGTAAAGTTTCCTTAAATTATCACTTCTAGGTGATAATTTGATAATTTGTCTAGCAAATTATCAAATTATCTATTAGTAGTTCCTTAGGATTATCTTCCTCACGGCCAGGTTTCAGACAAGACCTCATATAATGGAAAGAAAATATTACAAGAAGCACAGAGGAAGGAAGAGATGTGTCTTCTTAATGTAACATAGAAATTTCTTAGCTTTACCTGATAATCTTACGTGTTCGCGAGACAGAAAGATCAGCAATCCTGCCAGAGTTCAAAACACTGAACAAGTTTCTATTTTACAGTCTGAGAGGACGATAGTACCTCCCTGGATGATTGCTGTTCACACACACACAGCAACAAGGGGTCACAACTGGAAGTTGAAAACTCAGATGAGTCACAGGGATGTTAGGAAGTGTACTTCTTCAGTCACAGAATTGTCAGGAAGTGGAACAATCTGGAGTTATGTAGTGGAAGTAGGATCCATACATAGCTTTAAGAAGAGGTATGATTAAGCTCATGGAGCAAGGAGGGAGTAGACCTAGTAGAGACCAGTGAAGAGGAGGGGCTAGGAGCTATGAATCGACCCCTGCAACCAAAATTAGTCGAGTACACACATACACAAAGTAGGGGGGTGATCGCACTGTGTCTGGTGTATGCCTAGGCAAGAGAAGGAGAGTGGGAAGGATGAATGAAGGGGTAGTAATGATAGATGAGGGGATTGGAAGGATAGAAGGTATGTGAAGAATAGATGAAGGGATGTAAAGTACTGACGATGAAGTGGACAGGATGGACAAGATGGTCTGAGGGGGGCCTGACAAATGTAGAGATCCTACTTACCAACTTCCTAACAAATCAAACACAAAGAGTAGTGGTCAACAGAGTTAAATCGGAGGCTGCCATAGTGAAGAGCTCTGTTCCACAAGGCACAGTACTCGACCCCATCTTATTCCTCATCCTCATATCAGACAGAGATATACACCACAGCACCGTATCATCCTTTGCAGATGATACTAGGATCTGCACGAGACTGTCATCTACTGAGGACACGGTTAACCTCCAAGAAGATATAAACAAAGTTTTCCAGTGGGCAACGGAAAACAATATGATGTTCAATGAGGACAAATTCCAACTACTCCGTTATGGAAAACTGGAGGAGATAATAACTACAGACTCTGGCCATACAATAGAGCGGAAAAATAATGTAAGGGACCTGGGAGTAGTAATGTCTGAGGATCTCACTTTCAAGGATCACAACAGTGCCACGATCGCAGTGCAAAGAAAATGATAGGATGGGTAATGAGAACGTTCAAAACGAGAGATGCCAAGCCAATGATGATCCTTTTCAAATCACTTATTCTCTCAAGGCTGGAATACTGCTGTGCATTAACATCTCCGTTCAAAGCAGGTGAAATTGCAGATCTAGAGAGTGTACAGAGATCCTTTACTGCACGTATAAGTTCTGTCAAGCACCTTAACTACTGGGAACGCTTGGAAGCACTTGACTTGTACTCGTTGGAACGCAGGAGAGAGAGAGATATATCATAGTCTACAGTTGGAAAATCCTGGAAGGAATGGTCCCGAATCTGCACACAGAAATCACTCCCTACGAAAGTAAAAGACTGGGCAGGCGATGCAAAATACCCCCAATTAAAAGTAGGGGCGCCATTGGTACACTAAGAGAAAACACCATAAGTGTCCGGGGTCCAAGACTGTTCAACAGCTTCCCACCAAGCATAAGGGGAATTATCAATAAACCCCTGGCTGCCTTCAAGAGAGAGCTGGACAGATACCTAAAGTCAGTGCCGGATCAGCTGAATCATACTGTACGTTCATTATTTCGCCAGTTTATTTATTGCCATAAGCTCTATAACCCCCAAACAAGAGCTCAGTACTAGAGGTACCCATCACCTCAGTGGCGAACCATCCAGCACACAATCGAAAGCATATGGGATCAATTTTGGGCGACGCAAGGCAGATAGATAAGTCTGTAGCCTCTGTTCACCTACCACTAAATACTCATCTAAAAGTTAGTTGACTGATGTGGATCACATCTTGGGAAAGAAAAACCCACAAGGACACAGATGGATGTAACCCACACTGCTTGATTTTCTTGGATTATCCACCCACACCACCATCCCCACCGCCTTCACTACCATTTTATCCCTCTCCTTCCCTCCCAAAACCACCACCCACCACAACCACCACCCACCACAACAACCACCCACCACAACCACCACCCACCACAACAACCACCCACCACAACAACCACCCACCATGCATTAAGGGGGTAGCTATTATCGCCAATTTCCGACTTTGATTACACAAGGAAATGATATGAATCATAAAATACCCTCACCTGTTACTAATGGCACCATCTGGTGGCCAGTGATTCGCCTACACACCCATTAGCATATTCCGATCGATTGAACGCGGTCTAATCACCTATTGCTGTTCATTATAAGTGCAAAATAAGCTTAAGCTGTGAAACATATGGGTGGCTGATTAGATTGCGCCCACAGCGTTGCCAGAAGGGAAAATACAGAGGGATTGAGTGCAAAAAAAGTGAATGGCTTGTCGCTCCTGTTGTTGCTGATGCTTCTGTTGCTGTTGGTATTGCTGTTGCAGTTAATGTTAATTTTCCTGTTATAGCTACTGCTGTTGCTGCTGTTATTACTGTAGCTATTGTTGCCACTGTTGTTTGTTGCTGCTGCTGCTACTGCTTTTACTACTGCTGCTACTGCTTGTACTGCTGCTGCTACTACTGCTGCTGCTGCGGCTTTACTGCTGTCTGTCACTGCTGCTGCTGCTGCAGCTACTGCTGCTGCTGCTAGCTACTGTTGCTGCACAGTACTGCTGCTGCTGCTGCAGCTACTGCTGCTGCTATTACTACGGCTGCTGCTACTGCTTTTACTGCTACTGCTGCTGCTGCTGCTACTCCTGATGATGCTGCTGCTGCTACTGCTGCTGCTATTACTACGGCTGCTGCTGCTGATATTACTACGGCTGCTGCTACTGCTGTTACTGCTATTGCTACTGCTGCTACTGCTGCTCCTGAGGATGCTGCTGCTGGTACTGCTGCTCCTGCTGATATTGTTGCTGCTGCTACTGCTGCTGTTGATACTGCTGCTGCTACTGCTGCTATTGTTGCTGCTACTGCTGCTATTGTTGTTGCTGCTGCTCCTGCTACTGCTGCTATTGTTGCTGCTGATGCTGCCGTTGCTACTGATGCTGCTGTTGCTGCTGTTGCTACTGCTGCTGCTGCTACTACTGCTCCTACTGCTGCTGCTGTTGTTACTGCTGCTGCTACTGCTGCTATTGTTGCTGCTACTGCTGCTATTGTTGCTGCTACTGCTGCTATTGTTGCTGCTGCTGCTCCTGCTACTGCTGCTATTGTTGCTGCTGATGCTGCTGTTGCTACTGCTGCTGCTGTTGCTACTGCTGCTGCTGCTGCTGCTACTACTGCTCCTACTGCTGCTACTACTGCTCTTGCTGCTGCTGTTGCTACTGCTGCTGCTACTGCTCCTGCTGCTGCTGTTGCTACTGCTGCTGCTACTGCTCCTGCTGCTGCTGTTGCTACTGCTGCTGCTGCTACTACTGCTCCTACTGCTGCTACTACTGCTCCTACTGCTGCTACTACTACTCCTACTGCTGCTACTACTGCTCCTGCTGCTGCTGTTGCTACTGCTGCTGCTACTGCTCCTGCTGCTGCTGTTGCTACTGCTGCTGCTACTGCTCCTGCTGCTGCTGTTGCTACTGCTGCTGCTGCTACTACTGCTCCTACTGCTGCTACTACTGCTCCTACTGCTGCTACTACTACTCCTACTGCTGCTACTACTGCTCCTGCTGCTGCTGTTGCTACTGCTGCTGCTACTGCTCCTGCTGCTGCTGTTGCTACTGCTGCTACTACTGTTCCTACTGCTGCTACTACTGCTCCTACTGCTGCTACTACTGCTCCTGCTGCTGCTGTTGCTACTGCTGCTACTGTTCCTACTGCTGCTGCTACTGCTCCTGCTGCTGCTGTTGCTACTGCTGCTACTACTGCTGCTACTGCTGCTACTACTGCTCCTACTGCTGCTACTACTGCTCCTGCTGCTGCTGTTGCTACTGCTGCTGCTGCTACTACTGTTCCTACTGCTGCTACTGCTGCTACTACTGCTCCTACTGCTGCTACTACTGCTCCTGCTGCTGCTGTTGCTACTGCTGCTGCTTTTACAATTATTGCCAACTCTCGTAAACCTTTATAACATTATAGTTGACAATCATTTACAAAATTAGCTTTGAATTTACTTTGTGTTACCTGATCCACTAACTGGTTCACCATCAATTATTATATTAAGCTCAGCAGCCGTGTTGATTACTAAATGCCTACGTCGTGTACACGGATTTTGCAAAGGCACTTGATAAATTAGGCCATAGAGGGATTGCCCGCAAAAAAAGGAGGGCAAGAGATATGACAGGAAAAAATGAAATAGGTAGTAAATACAATATAACGATGAACGAGTAAAGTAATGAATTTAGGGGTTTAGGAAACGGTTCTGGCGTCTTTACTGTTTCCCGCTCATCAGCCACAGCTTCGTGTCATCTTTCGCTGACAATTTCAAAATAAACATGAAAATGACTTCATTAGAAGTCACGGAAAGACTCCAAACAGACATCAGCAACTTGTCGGTGGGCAGAGGATACCAACACGACGTTTAACTGCAGCAAATTCCAATTGCTTAGATACAGAAAGAACGAAGATTTCAAAATGAACACGAGACACAAAAAGAAACAGAACTTTGCAGACAACTAAAAAAAATGTGAACGACTCACCAGTAAAAATGTCTGATGACATATCCTTCAGAGAACGCAACAAATTACAAGCATCAGTGGCCAGGAAAATTGTAAGATTAATTGTGAGAACTTTCAAAACAAGAGAAGCTACGCTATTGATGGCACTATTTAAATTCTTCGTGTTGTCACATTTGTTATATTGTCTTATGCTCAGACTTTCTTCCATGACAGGAGGGAGAGAGAGAGAGAGAGAGAGAGAGAGAGAGAGAGAGAGAGAGAGAGAGAGAGAGGAGAAGAGAGAGAGAGAGAGAGAGAGAGAGAGAGAGAGAGAAATACCTGAGGGGTTAGGCTCCCAACTAACACACTCCCCTGACAACATACTGGAGTGAGAAGTACAAGAGGAAGTGTAGAATAAAGCTAGAGAAGAGCTGGAACACCAGAGGCACAGTAAGAGAACACTGTGTCAACATCCATCGTCCTGGACTCTAATTTTCTTTTACAAGCAGATATAAGAAGTATTACCAGAAGAAAGTTGACAAATAAATAAGTGGACAAGACCCTGAAGAAAACCATAGCTCATCCTGGAGGTAATATCTTCGTAGGACTGACGACCTGGGCAGCAGCAGCAGCAGCAACAGCCTAGTCCATCAGGCAGTCAAGAGCGAAGCCGGGCTTCATGCAAGGCCACAAGAATAAAACTCTCGAAGCCGGTCACAGGTTTTTCCACAGGCATGCCGCCCACTGCGTAGGCGAAACGTTTCGAAATAAAGATACCTAACTGTTGCACATGTGTCTTACCTAACAACCTGTCGGTATTTTATACCATTTTAATATCCAACTAAGGAGAAGATCACCGCCAGTAGCCATTAAATCTTAAAAAACTCAACACCATTAATCAAAGAGATATGAAGGTTGATAGTTAATTACCTTAATAATAGTTTACAAAGTAAAGTAACATCGTTAGTCACTTCGAAACCTTCATGTTTACCCTCAGTAAATCCTTTGGGCATAATATATTAAGAATTTATCAGCGTATTTACTAACCATAATTTTTTACAAATGAGGTTTATATACATAAACTGTAAGTTAAATAAAATAATAAGAATAAATCAGAGAGGAAACACCATTGTGATGATGATGTGTGTGTGTGTGTGTGTGTGTGTGTGTGTGTGTGTGTGTGTGTGTGTGTGTGTGTGTGTGTGTGTGTTAAAGTCACCATCCGTCAGTGGCTTTTGTCAATAGACACTTGTCCTCTGTATGTGTATTTGTGAAGTGTGTGTGTGTGTGGGGGCAGACTTATACAGAAAAGTTGGAGTGTGCTCTGAATAAGAGCACACACACAGGCAGCGTCAAGGTGACTGTGTGTGTGTGTGTGTGTGTGTGTGTGTGTTGAGGTTCAGGTATGTTGGTACAAAAGCCCCTATCCACGTTTGTGTTGCAACACTTGCCACGGAGTTCCCTACTAACGTTTTTTCCTCCATCATCTCACTTAGCACTTCAAATAGTGCTCTTTGCTTATTTCGCGAGTTTTTAGTTACAAAGCTTAAATTAGATCTCCTCGTAGTTTGTTTTCAAGTTTACTGCTTGTTTAGCGCTTTGTGTCAGTCTTCTGACAGGATAGAGACCAGATGTCGCTATTAGCACATGAAGGATCGGGCCTCCACACCTCCTTGCGCTGCTTTTACGTGGTTCATGAACAACTAATCAGTACAAATTGATTTTCCTCCTCTGGACCAACAAACCCCTGGTTATCTTCAGGAGATAACTTAACAGGTTCTTCAAGTCAGTTCCTGATCAACCGGGCTGTGGTGCGCATGTGGGACTATGTGTGGCTACCAACATCCGCCTGGTCGATCGGACAGGCAATGTAAAGTCTGGTCTGGGACCGGGACGCGGGGGCGGTGACTCCAGATAAACCCAGGTACCACCAGGGGCATAGTGTCCAGTAATTTAAATACTTTATTAATTCGACGCGGATCGTAACTGATCTCTGTATATGTTCCACCCCTGCTATCTCTCCTGCCCTGAACGGGACCGTCAATACTGAACAATACTCTCAACGAGAGAACACAAGCTAGTTGGATAGTGTCAACATCCGCACTATTTTCCATGCTTTGTAATTCCTCCTAATCCACTCAAAGAAATGTCAGTTAACATATTTACTCCCAGGTCTTTCACATGTTCCCTTCCTTCTATTTGATGATCCTCTTGAGCTTTGTATACAGTGTCCCTCTTGAGTTTCTTATTCTTTCCATACCTACGCAACTGGGACTTATCACCTACTAAATGTCATGTTCTTCTCCACTGTCCACTGGAAATCCCTGCTTATATCTTCCTGCAAATATTCTGTCTTTTACCGAGGTTATTTTTATACTTATTATGGTGTCATCTGTAAATAATAGTAGAAAACTATGGTGAGCGTTTTTATCTATGTCTTCTATGAGGATAAGAAACAGTAGAGGAGCCAGGACAGTGCCTTAGGATACTTATTACTAGATGAAGAGGGACAAGAGGTGTAATATAACATGCCTTTGTTTCTAACAGCCACAGGATCGATCCCAGGTCCTTCAGTAGTGAGCCAAATCGCTACGAACGTTCTTGTGCTTCGTATTCGACATTCTAGCTGTGAAACCCAAAGTTTATATATTTATTTTCAGAGAGAGAGAGAGAGAGAGAGAGAGAGAGAGAGAGAGAGAGAGAGAGAGAGAGAGAGAGAGAGAGAGAGAGAGAGAGAGAGAGAGAGAGAGAGAGTGGGAGCAGCCAGTCATCTGGTTATATTGTGACATCACAGGGATGGCAACAAGTGATACCATCAACTAGTTTTCTTTTATTGCCCAGAAAACATTCTCCATAGAGGCAACAGCTTCTTCTCTCTCTTGCTTTGTGTGTGTGTGTGTGTGTGTGTGTGAGAGAGAGAGAGAGAGAGAGAGAGAGAGAGAGAGAGAGAGAGAGACAGACAGACAGACAGACAGATTATTCAGGTCCACATATGCTAACCACTTGGGCATGACAAGATTACAAATATCACGACCAGAGAATACACGCCAAGATCCACCTGGTGTTTTGTGTTGTG